CTGCACTGCAAAATTTTTACTAGCATTAGAGAAACAGATCCAAGAGTCCCCAGATGACGCCAGAAAACCGTAGGGTGGTTCGTTTACCTGTGGGTAGGGGGACAGCATGCAAACCTCTCCTAAAGCCAGGCAGGGGATGCAAGCCCTCACCCAGGCTGTCAGCTGCTTGGGGCAAACAGGCCACTGCTTGCTCCCCGGGTGCTTGTGGGTTTGGCTATGGTACGGAAATGGAGAAGTCATTCCAGGGAAACTGATGCAAATGTTTGCTTGTGTTCCTTGGCAATTTCTCATGACAACAGTTTCCATGGAAGAGATATTTCTGGCTGCAAGACTGTGGCTAAGGCTAGGCAGCCCAGCACTCTCCAGGGTGAGGTGCCCAGCACTCTCCAGGGAGAGGTGGGCCTGTTCCCAGCTGGGACCAGCTACCAGACTCTGGGCCCCAGGCTGGCACAGTGGGCAGGACATCCCCAAGCCCCTACAGTGGCTTGGAGGCATGCTCTGAAGACCATACTGACAGAGGGCTCTGGGAGATGGCCCTGGCCTCTGCCTGTTCCATACCTCCAGGGCTGGCTACTGGGGCACTGGCGACAGTGCAGGAGCATCGTTGTATGGAAATTGCCAGCAGACCGGGGTGCAGCAGAGGGCTTGGACAGGGACGCGGTGGGGAAGGATAGGTGGTCCCTGTGGCACCTTTCATTGGCTTTTGGACCCTGAAAGGCGTTGCACAGGAATCGTGGGTGTTTTTCCATGGCTCAAAGTTTGTTATCTACAGGCAGAAAAATGGTCTGAGAGGGACCTTCCACTTTCTTCTGTCCCCAGAGTATTGAGCTGTTCCTCCCTTCTTCTGCTCAGGGAGGGGGGTGAGGAATAGGCAGGAGTCACACAGCTCAGTGGCTGGAAAAAGCCCTGCATGGAAGTTTTGTCCCTTGCTGAAAGAAGCAGCTGAGAAGCATCAGTAGGATTTCACCCTTCTCCCTACTGGTTACCAAGGCTTCCCTGGACCAGATCAGCATGTGGCTTGCAAAGGATCCCTTGACTCTTTTGCTGTGAAACCATACTTGCTCTAGCAGTGCTTCCTTTCCCTCCTCCAGCTCCACCCGCCTGCCAACAGCCAGGATGGGCGAGCAGAGGTCTCTAACATTTATCCCACATGTTTATCCTGCTACACCTTCCTGTTCTCCCACCCCATGGGAAAAAAAACAACAACAACAAAAAGGCTGTTGTTAGAAGGAAGAAAAGGACTAAGCTGGAGTTTGCTGACCCCTTTCGCCTCCTTGGAAGGAGTCTGAAGTGGGTGTGATTGCCCTTTGCTCTTGCTCTGTGTCTTAGCACAGCAGTGCTGACACTGGATCTGTTCTTATGTGCCTACATCCCGTTTGCAGGATGCCTGTGCACTCGAGGACGATGCACCCATACAAGACCTCTGTTTTCTGTCTACCCGAGGCAGCAGCCCCACTCCTGGAGCCTGTTTTCCTTTTCCATCCGCTGCTCTGAATGTTACTACCAGCAACGCAGATGTTAGTGCACAGAGACAAGATCTCTGC